GCTGTAGATTAGGTTTCTTATAAACAGCAATCACTTCATAAGCTGTTCCAGTATTTAATTACCCTCCTTTAAAAGCAAAGGCAACACAAACAAAGCCCACAAAAACACATTCCTTTTTTTGTTTAAATTAGTCTTGCTTCCAGTGCAAGCCTCTAGAATATTTTCTTGTATGTGGTGCAGTAAAATCAATTAGATTTCCTTTATACTGCATAAAGTATATAACAGAATATAAATTTATGACTATATTTAATTTTACAGGAAACTAAATTACACTGTTATCTCAGTACAGTCAAATGCATTAACGGTGCCTTGTATCAATTGTTATTATCTACAACTTTAACATTTTTCTGTATCTTCAGGTCACATTTCCATACCTAAAAAAAATAATCTAACTTCAAAGGAAGCTTCTGAACTTTAAATTGTAGTTTATTAATTTTGGTCAACTCTAGACAAAAGATATTTAATTTTGGCTGGCCAAAAAAAGTACTTGAACAGTGGCTACTCTGAGGTAGAAATACGTAGTATTCGGAATTAAATCACAAAATAGAAACTGTGTATCATGTCTCTAAACAAAGGGATTTGGATAGCATAAATCATAGTGATTAAAGCTACAAGTCAGTCTAACTTGTTATGTTTCTACATGCAACTTAAATTGCATGTAGAAAAATACATGCAAATGTCTGTAATGTCAAACTAATTTTCCAAAATGTACAGTTAGAGGATAAGTATCTGTTTTAATAACCATGCTCTCTTCTATGTAAATTGTAGTATGGTAATATAGATGTTTGGTTTTGACAATTTTAAACTTCATTGACATTTGAGAAATTAGATGAAAATGCTGTAAAGAAATCTAAGACTTAGGAAAAAAGAAAAAATTGGATAAATTTTTTGTTTATGAAAAACAAAATTCTATGTAACTCCCAACATGAATAGTGCAATTTTAATATACATTCCTTTGAATGGAACAGGATGCCGAGAGAGGTAGTGGAGTCTCCTTCTCTGGAGATACTCAAAACCCACCTGGACGCCATCCCATGCAACCAGATCTACATGATCCTGCTCTAGCAAGGGGGTTGAACTAGAGGATCTCTAGAGGTCCCTTCCAAACCCTACCAATCTGTGAATGATGTGTTTCCTTCAAACACAACAACTTTCTTTTCAACTTTATTTCCCTGTCTCACATGTTCAAGATGATTTTTTGTAATCTAATGGCAATCAGATAGACTAGGATATTAAATATATTGAAATATAGCTGAAGTATACCAAATGCAGCTAACAATATTTTTTTAATAAAATCTTTGAAAAACAAATAACACTTTTTACCTAAGAGGTATGGCTAAATTGCGTACTGCAGTATAATGCAGAGATACCTTACCCATTGAACTGAGTTCCAACTCCACTGAGTTCATTTATGGGCACCATAATTAAGTTTGCTGTGGTAGCACTGAGTTGGATTTTAACTATGATGTTAACATACTTAAGAATGTGCAGTATTGCAGGGTGAACTCAATGGAATTAATTTATAGTACACTATAAACAGTATAGAATAGATATTCAGTTGGAAGGGACCTACAACGATCATCCAACTGCCTGACCAATTCAGGACTGACCAGAAGCTAAAGCATGTCATTAAGGGCATTGTCCAAATGCCCATTAAACCCTGACAGGCTTGGGGCATCAACCATCTCTCCAGGAAGCCTGTTCCAGTGCTTGACCACCCTCTCGGTAAAGAAATGCTTCCCAGTGTCCAGTCTAAAACTCCCCTGGTGCAGCTCTGAGCCATTCCCACATGTCCTGGCACTGGGTCCCAGGGAGAAGAGCTCAGCATCTCCCTCCCCACTTCCCTTCCTCAGGAAGCTGCAGAGAGCCATGAGGTTGCCTGTCAGCCTCCTTCTCTCTAAACTAGACAAACCCAGAGCCCTCAGCCACTCCTCACAGGACACATCTTCCAGCACTCTCACCAGCTCTGTTGCACTCCTCTGGATGCATTCAAGGACCTTCACATCCTTCTTAAATGGTGGGGCCCAGCACTGCACACAGTACTCAAGGTGAGGCTGCACCAGTGCTAAATGCAGTGGGATAGTCACCTCTTTGCCATCTGGTTATGCTGTTTGATGCACCCCAGGATGCAGTTTGCCCTCTTGGCTGCCAGGGCACACTGCTGGCTCATAGTGAGCTTAGCGTCAAACAACCACCACCCCAAATCCCTTTCTGCGGAGCTGCTCTCCAGCCGCTCCTCTCCCAGTTTATACTCGTGCCCAGTGTTTCTTCCTCCTAAGTGCAGAATCCAAATTTGTTCTTGTTAAACTTCATCCCACTGATCATTGCCCAATGCTCCAACCTATCTAGATCCCTCTGCAAGACCTACTGTCCCTCAAGAGAGTCAACAGCACCTCCCAGTTTGGTATCATCAGCAAACTTGCTAACGGTGCATTCAACTCCTGCATCCAGATTGTTGATAAATGTACTGAACAGAACTGTCCATAGAATTGAGCCCGGAGGAACACAGCTAGTGACCAGTTGCCAGCCAGATGCTTTTATAAACCAAGAGTTAAATTATTAATTTACTGATATGTTACCATTTAAACAGCACTTTCAGTACTGTACATTGAAATAAAAATTTGTATACAAAATAGTAATTCTGTAGAAATCTGAACCAGCTCTTTTTTCCTGACAGCAAACACTGCTCACAATGGGAGAGTTAATGGTTTATGCTATACAAATGACGGACTTTATCTGTTGACCATTGGTACCGATGATCGGATGCGACTCTGGAACAGCTCCACTGGAGAAAACACGTTAGTAAGTTTTCAAGGATCTTTAGTTATGTTTTTACTTGCACTAAATTTTAGAAGATTTATAATTAGTGCAATTGTCATTACAACTTCAGATATTAATCTTAATAAAGGATATAGCTGCTTAATCTCACCATTAGAAGATTTTGTGAGCATTTTTTCCAGATTTCTTTTCTTATTTCTACTTATTATTAAAAAAAAAAAAACAGAATATGAAGAACCCTCGATCTACTTAAAGATTGAATATGGTAGCCTTAAGTTTGTTAATTTGTGAGTGTAGCTGAAAACGCTTCAGACATTAATGAAGACCTTAATATGCAGTGACTTGGTAAATTTTTATTTTATTTTTTTTAAACTATTCATGGTCAGCATGCTATCCACAGGGCAGTTAGCCATACCTGAGAGTTTCACTGAACGACTGCCTGGCTTTCTTGCAAATTCATTTTTGGTTTTTGGGTATCTATCTTGTAGAGTTTTATAGCAGTGTTAAAAAAGCAACTAAACAGAGGAGGGCAGAATTAAATCTTTCTATGGCTTGTTTTTTCCTGAAGGTTCCTATTTTAATTTTCTGTTCAGTAAAGAAAATTGTTTCCTATGTTTATTTTGAAAGAAGGACGTACTAGGTAAGTCAGTTTCCATCGGATTTTAGCCAATAGTGATTACGGTTTGTCATTGCTGTCAGGAAAGGAAGAAATTTTACTCTACCTTAGAAATCTTTTACTTCTGCTGCTTAGTTTCAGAACACAGCAAAAAGAATTCCTCATAGACATTTAAATAAAAGGACTTTTCTATCTCCATGCTGCCCATAATTGCCAGCTTGTTCTCAGCACTTCATATACAGATATCTTTCTGTCTTCAAATCACCATCACCAAAGTAGATAATACAGTTTGTTCACTCTCCTGTCACCAGCTGGATCACTGTTTTTTGTTTTTCTGTGCCTGTTAGTTCATTGACTTGTTTTGTAGGCTATTTTACAGTTTTCTTACTTGGCGTGGAATAGCTTGATTCTGCCTTGTTTTTTCAGTTATATTGTCCAGAGAATACCAGATTTTTGCACACTGTCCAGAGGTATTCCTTAAATAAATAAATTTTAAAACGCTTTGAAATTTTAAAATAAATAAATGCATATACAGGTAATACAACTTCACATCATAGTCTTTTTGTTTCTCCTGCTAGTCAGTCCTTTTAATTTCCATAATTTTTTTCTATGCCTTTCAAAAGGTGTAGAAATTAAGCCATGCATATGAATTGTTTTGAGCAGTGAGCCAAATTTGGGACCTAGTGGATTGTTTCAGTTAGTAAGAGAAATGAATGTGGGAGTGATACACACCTTGCATCTGTCCTTTATGAAAAAAAGGAATAGAAAGTCCTGATTCACTGCGTGTAGGAAGAACCAAACAGAAGCAAGCACATACTCTGTTTTGTGTATGTGCTCAAAGGACAAAGCCAGTTTTTAAGATCTTTCTTCAGTTCTTGTTTTGGCAGCATACTTTCCATTGCTCCTCTGTCAAGCAGAAACGTTTACACTGGGTATATCCATATAATTTACTTTTCCCAGCCCCTGCTCCTCCCTTTCATTGTACATGCCTTTGTTATGAGCAATGTAAAGGAGTTTAATTGCTCTTTATCACCAGAGTAATATGGCTCTTAAAACAACTAGCATGAGCAAGACTTAACACAGCGAATATTTACAAACACTGTCCTTAGAGAATGAGCAGTATTATCTACAAAGGACATGACACAAAGTCCACATCTCATGAAAATATCCTCTCAATATGAAAAAATATCAACCTACTTGTATGTTAATCAAACTCTCTTTGTATACATTTTTATGATGATTGTGAGAGATTTTCTCAAGACTCCTTTTTACTATACTTTTCTTACCTAAGTGCTCTTTGCTATGAAAGAGCATACTTTAAAAATAGAGCAACAAGTAGTCTTGTTTCTTGCCTGGCTCATGCTGACTGATGCTTATATTTGTCTCAAACTTTGGACTCAGGCAACTGATGTGTTATGGATCAAGAACCTGACAAAGCAAGACATTTATATTAGAATATTTATCTGATAAACTTTATGAATCTGTTAGCTTATAGTCACAAGATTTCACACTTGGGATTTATTTTTTTTTTTAAACTATAGGCCATGAGGTTTAGGTAGGGGGCTTTAAAATTAACCCAGAGAGTTTTGCTAACATTGTACATATAAGCGAATCTCTGGTTTTCAGTGGAAATTAAGATCGTCGGTTGTAGGACAATACTATTTGAAAACAAAATATTTTTTATATAATGCTATGTAGTATTAATGAATTTAAATTTAAAAAGCTGTTATTTTTATTAAAAATATACTTATTTTAAATAATAAAATTATGTGTGAATTTCAGGTGTTTGTAGTGGACTTCTCCCTTTTCATGAAAAAAAATATATGTATGCTTTAATTGTCAAAATTCTGATGTTTTGTTTTAATTGAGTTTCTTTAGAGGTAAGCTATAGTGTTGTCATGAGTATATTTCTGTATTTTCTCATGAATACGCTCTTGATGCCTCTAGGACCTATTTAGACTGATATATCCAACTGGAATATTTCCTAGCATGTTTAGAAACTTTCCACTTTCAACCTTTGGTGAGATTTTTATCCATATAGGACTTGTCAAGAGCTTGAAATGTACAGACGCTAATAAGCTATACTTTTTGTGCTATTTTTATTTGCAAGGCTTCCCACACACCTCACAAGACAGGTCTTAGAAATGTAGCATTTGCTCCTATCCCAGCTGCCCTTATAGGGAACAGTATTGAATTTCTCAGTGGTGATTTAGCTTTGATTAGAAGATAGGCTTTTTTATCACTGTTAACTAGTACATAATAATTTAGCAAGTTATTCTTTATTTGCTTCTCCTTCATGAGTCTCTTCTTAATCCCTTTACTTCACCATTTGCTTATGCCATCATTCTGCTTACCCTTCAGTTGTTTTCATACTGCCTGTTCATCTGCTGTTTCTTAGTAACTTGTGAGGGAGAAATGCAGAATCCTTCCTTACATTGCAGATGTTTTTCATCTCTTCCTTCTTTCCTGAGCAACGGATCACTTGCTAAGAAATCCTTAGGGCTAGTTCTTGCATTGTCTAGACTGATGCTTCTGTTCTTTGCTGTCCTACTGACGTATACACTTCAGAAGTGTAGTTTTCTGCAATATCAGTTGACTCTGATAAACAAAGGGCCCTTACAGGGTAGAAGGTAATGTAGATCAATTTTTCTTTAATCTAAGGACTAAAGTCTTGCAGCATCGGGACCAGTACTGTTTAATATCACTAGTAACATAGATCGAGTACACCTGCAGCAAGTTTGCAGATGACACCAAGCTGAGTGATGCGGTTGACACACTTGAGGGATAGGATGCCATTCAGAGGGACCTGGACAAGTGTGAGAAGTGGGCCCATGTGACCTTTGTGAAGTTCAGCAAGGCCAAGTGCAAGGTCCTGCATGTGGGTCAGGACAACCTTCAGTATCAATACAGGCTGGGGGATGAAGGGATTGAGAGCAGCCTTATGGAAGGAGGACTTGGGGGTTCAGGTGCATGAAAAGCTGGACATGAGCCAGCAATGTGCTCTCGCAACCCAGAAAGCCAAGTGTATCCTGGGCCACATCAAAAGAAGCGTGGACAGCAGGTCAAGGGAGGTGATCCTGCCCCTCTACTCCGCTCTGGTGAGACCCCACCTGGAGTACTGTGTCCAGCTCTGGGGGCCCCAGTACAAGAAAGACATGGACCTGTTGGAGTGGGTCCAGAGGAGGACCACGAAGATGATCAGAGGGATGGAGCATCTCTCCTGTGAGGACAGGCTGAGAGAGTTGGCATTGTTCAGCCTGGAGAAGAGAAGGCTCCAGGGAGATCGGATTGCAGCCTTTCAATACTTAAAGGGGGCTATAAGAAAAATGAGGACAGACTTTGCAGTAGGGCCTGTAGTGATAGGATGAGAAGCAATGGTTTTAAACTAAAAGAGGATAGATTTAGACTAGATATAGGAAGAGATTTTTTTATGATGAGGATGGTGAGACACTGGGAGAGGTTGCTCATAGAGGCTGTAGATGCCCCATCCCTAGAAACATCAAGGCCAGGTTCGACAGGGCTCTGAGCAACCTGATCTAGTTGAAGATGTCTCTGCTCCTTTTAGGGGAGTTGGACTAGAAGACCTTTAAAGGTCACTTCCATTCTATCATTTGTAATTGTATACTGTTGTGCATAAGGAGTTCTTTTAATCGTTTCAGTATCTAAGAGAAAATTATTGTGTTGGATCATCTAGCAAGATGTTTAAGGCGGCAATTCCTGAACCAGTTCTAATTTCAGGGATAATGTACGTGCTCAGTGTAGATCTGGCATGCAACGGTCTGTGTAAATTCTATTTGTAAGTATGGAACTGTTGATTTTTAGGCATATCTTTCTTTCCCTTTTTTAAAGTTGGTGTTAAGGAAAGTGAACTTTAATGAACAGAAAAAATTATTCTTTTGATTGACATCTGTAGTTGGAAATCAAGAGTTGTATTTACGTTGGAAAACTTTATTGGTTATTAAACAAGAAATGAAATTGACCTTTTCATGTAAAGTTATTTCCTGTAGTTATAATTAATAGCTAACTGCCTAATCCTTCATTTTACAGGTGAATTATGGGAAAGTCTGTAACAAAAGTAGAAAAGGACTCAAATTCACCATCTCTTGTGGCTGCAATCCAGAGTTTGCCTTTGTACCATATGGTAGTACCATTGCTGTTTATACAATTTTCACAGGACAACTGATAACTATGCTTAGAGGGCATTATAGTACTGTCGACTGCTGTGTATTTCAACCTAATTTTCAGGTAAGTAAAGTACAATGTTCCAGACAACTTGGAATATTTATGCAGATCGCCAACCAAAAGTATTAACTTTTCAGGGATGTGCTTCAATCAAAGATCTTGACACAAGAGGCAGTTCTGTGGCTTACATGTCAAGCAAGAAATGTTTGGTCAATTTCTTGGGACGGGCCTTTCTATATTGGGTTCCTTCCACTATTCATTTTGTCTTATGTAGGCAACTTTTCAATAAACCTATAGTAATTTTTTGTCTTATATTGTCATTAATAAGTTGTATGCGTTAAGGCTTTTGCCTGCTTTCTTTAAAGCTGAAGAGGAGGCATTTGTCTTTCTCTGAGACTAATCACAATAAGAAAGAATGTGAAATGCATTTGGGTGAAGTGCAGTAGTATCGCTCTCAGTACTGAGAAACCTCTCAGGTACTTTGCTAAGGTGATCTTGCTCAAGTGCTTGTAGTCATACCAGTCACTGAATCTATGAACAGTTGGATGAAGTGTTGAGAACATGAGGAGCTTCCTAAATTAATTTGAGAACACTTTACCTAAGAAATGTTATAGCATTGCAGGGACTCACAGTGCTGACAGCCGCCTTTTCACTGTTCCCTTTTTCCTTTTCCCCTGTGGTATATTTTTCGCTTGTAACAAATGACGTAAGGATAACAAAGCTTTATTTGTTATGAGATATTTTACAACAGATTGTTCTTATGGATTGTGGTGTGGCAAGAGTAGAGTGGATTTTAGTATGGATTTTAAGGCTGTTACATAGTTACCCTCTGCTGTTGAGGATTGTGATTCATGTTCCAGCTCCTTCTTTTTCATCTTTTGTTTCTGAAATACCAGGCAGAAATACTTGAGGCAGAAGGGGCCGGTGGGTATCTTTTCATGACCTCTCATATATAATAGAAGTTACTCTGGTAGCTTTTGCTTTGAGTCCTGTAACTTTAACTGAAACAATGTTTCCCTATCATTGAGCTGCACTTCACTGAAAGTTTTGGACCTGTTACAGATCAGGCGATAGAGCCCAAGCTTATAAGCCTTGCTAGACCTGGAGAGCAGTTCCGGCATGAATACGCAGTGAGATACTAGATGCACTGAAAGGTGGAATATTCACATTAGAGCTAAGGCACATCTTTTCTGGGCTGTTCTTGACTAGTTTAAAAAGCCCTTTGTGTTTTTATAAAAATAGTTTCCCAACAAAAGTGCTAGTGTGTTTATATTGTCCTCTTTGGTGTTCTTTTTAACAAGCCGAAGAGGTGCGCCTCATTAAATCTCACTGCAAATCATGTTTTTCAGCCCTGGAAATGCATATCTCTTTGTAATGTCACTCTCCTGGCTTTTAAGATCCTTAGAAAAGGATCACTCGTGTGAGTGTGCACGCAAGAACTGCATCAGTCACTATAGCTATAGGTTTATGTTGGCAACAACTTGATTTGTTTATCTGTTGTGATTCCTGACTCTCAGAATCACCCTTTTCCAGAGTTCAGTTCTATATTCTAGAAGTGTGACTGGATTTTCTTTTTCTTTAAATGCTCTGCTTTTAGTTGTATTAAATTGTTACTCTGATGGAATAACATTACTGTAGTCAGTGTGTTGAGACCAAATGTAGTGGTAGTGTTATTTTGACTGTTTGTGTTCACACGTCTACTTCCAAATGTCTCATTCTGTCTGAGACAATTAAGTATATTCATCAGTCTTCATATAATTCCAATAGAAATTATGATTTCCCAGTTAAAACTAATTTTCTGAGAATGCAGTCACTTGTAAAAATTATCGTTACCTGTTTTACTTTTGCAAGCGATATTGAATCAATATGTTACAAAGTTATTCATATCTGTGCATTTCTATTTTCAGGTACTAGTTGTTAATAAAATCAGTTTTGCTTGACAAAACCTGCTTTGTTGCAAACTGTTGACTGATGCTGTTTATATTCTTATATCTTAACTCTACAGTAACTGAATCTTTTAATCACCTTTTCCATTGTCTTGTCTTGTTTAGGATTAAAGAAATGTTAGTTCATTTGTATCTGTATCGTTCCACCTCCTTCCCTCCTTCCCTCCTTCCCTCCTTCCCTCCTTCCCTCCTTCCCTCCTTCCCTCCTTCCCTCCTTCCCTCCTTCCCTCCTTCCCTCCTTCCCTCCTTCCTCCCCTGAATGGCATACTAGCTCACTTCAGCTTTGTAGAATTTCAGTATGTATTAGAACATAACTTCTGTATTGTTTAAATTAATTTCATAGATAATTTTTCTAAGAGTCTCTGATATAAGTTTTATGCAGCTACTTGTGAAATGTGTAGCAGATGGCTTTCTAACATTTTTATTACTTGTTAGCACACTTGAAATTAGTACGCTATGTTCATATGAAATAAGATCTACATCTTTTCTGCATAGTTTCTATCATTTCCATCTATCAGTGAGTGTCTGTCTTTAAGAGTTTTCTTCCTAATAAGTCTTCTAAACTTTTTCTGCTGTCTTTAACATTGCGGAGTGATTTTTGTCCTTCCCATGTTGAGGGATATTAGTTGTTTAAGATAAATAAGTAAGTTTTAATTAGAATAAATTACTTAGGATTATAATAGTGTGATTTGTGCTGTTTGCTTAGCTTTACTTAGCATAAGTCACTAGATTTGCTGAAGCCTTTAGGCTGTGAAAGTTATTTTTCTTAGTAATTTTCCTAGCAGTTTTCCTAGCAGTTGATACAGTGCTGTGTTTAGTCTTTTAGTATAGTATAGGAAAGTATTTTGATATCACACTAATATTTTGATAGTGTTTTTCCCAAGTCTGGGAACAGTTCTCCATGTTCTGCCAGCAAGGGCAGGTGCCAAAGGAGTGTAAACCAGATGATAAGGAGGCTCCAACCTTCAGCTGAAACTGCAAATCAACAAGATAATAGCCTGCCTGTCTGGGGACAGAAGAAGACTCCAATTAGATGTTAGAAGACCCCAGACCAAAAATCACCATTGGAACTAAAAGAGCTTGGACAGTGCGTGAAGGGCGGGTGTATAGATCACAAGTGTATAATTGCTCCGGGATTTCTTTGTTCAGGGTCCCTCTCTTTGGATGCACCCAACCCACGCTGTTCTTGCTGCTGTACCTTTCAATTAAATTAATTATTTTATAAAATCCAATACCTGAGACTCTGCTGCGGGAAACCTAGGATCAAGCCTGAAGAAGAAGGAAACGTGCCCAAGAATAAGTGTGCATGTGCACACGACACCATGAATGGTGTGTGAATGCTCGGGCAACAGCTCTTCCTTTAACACCCCAAATCTGGTTCTTAGATTTTCTTACTATTTTCTTCTGTGTTCAGAACTCTCATTGATATTGGTTGATGCCAGTCCCTCATGTTCTTTCTGTTCATTAACTGTATTTTAATCACTATCTTTGTTTGACCTCATAACTGGAATAGGCTCTAAAAGGAACTTTAACTTCGCACCATTTATGTATTTGAGATGAGAAGTGTCTTCTCTGTGCTCAGAGCCATATAATCAAATATGATCACGAATACCCAAGCAACTAGCTATTTGCAATCCAGTGATAATTTGTCTTTATGTGTTCTTATGAGGTCCAAATTAATTAGCAGGTTTGTGTGGAATACCTTTTGTGTTTGAGATATTGTGTGGAGCTCTCTCCACAGAATGGTGTGAGATTTAGTTAATATGTGTGTATATATGCCTTTTGAGATCCTGGGAATAGAGCCATAAAATCCACTATATTATTGTTGGCCTAAATTGTTCTTACATAAATATGTCTGTAAAGTTAATGAGATGTTAGTCTGCTTGAGTAATAAGAACTGCAGAATTCGGCCCTTTAATAAGAGCCATTAATTTAATAGGAGGTAGGTAATTCCAAGGGTGGTATGGAAAAGGAAATCTTCATTGTGCAATCTCTTAGATGATGTTTACTGTTGGATCTAGTATGCTAGATACCATTGTGCCATATTAGCTGCTTAAAATAATTCAAGTAAACAAACAAGACCTGTGTTTCCCTTTCATAAAAATAAATGGAGTAAAGCACCATGCATGAATAACATGTTATGAAATATTAGGGAGACATCAGGAAACAAATTTGCTTTACATTTTAGCTACTTCTGTTGCTCAAGAAATGCCAGTGACATCTGCAAAGGTATTTGGCAGATCCAGTGATAGGCTAGTAAGTAAAGATAACTGAAAGTCACATTAGATTTCATTTGCAGTCTTTCCTCGGAGTCTTAAAGCATAATATTTCCATATATTGTACTACAAACATGCATAAAGCTTATGTGTATGTCTTACACTGTAGCATAAAAAAAACGTGAAGCTCACTGGCTCTTCTTTTGACTGTCTTAAGGTATGAGTCACCATTTCAGGTTGTGATACTTACAATTAATTGTAAGTATCACTCAATGCACTGGATATTAACTGAAGATCTTGCAATGCCAGGGTCAGAAAGTGAGACAAGTGGTAATAAAGATTAAATGGAAGTATGCTGTCACTATGACATTGCTTGCAATGAGAGATTTTGGCTTGGGAAGAGGTTTTAAAGTTCTAGACATTTTCAGTATCCTGTCAAAGACAGGAGGCCCAAGTAGAGTCCATCTGACAGAATAAAGTGGGATTTGACAGGATAAAGTGGGATTTGACCTATACCTTGGTGTAACTTGGACCTGTCATGGTTTAAGCAAGATGAGTAGGATGTTTCTATCTCATAAAGTTATAAACACTAATCTTGTATGTGTTTTATGCATGAATAGCTTCATGCATGGGAGCAGTTTTACAAAAGTGAGTATGCCAGCTCTCTTGAACAAGATTACCCACATAAATGGGTATTTATAGGAATTAGGCATTAAGTCCCTGAACCAACTGTCAGCATAATTCATGCAGTTGTAGAATTAAATATATATAATATAGGAGACTTTCTGCAGAGACAAAATTTTAATAGTTTATTGAACTTCTTTTGAATCAATCTATTAAAAATGTGCACATATGCACAGAGTTGCTTGTTTAAGTGTAAAAGTCAACATACTTAAATAGTGGCAGCCTGAGTACAGAAAAAATATATGTTTCATTTAAGCAGTTTAAATGCACAGCAATACTCAAGTGTTGTCAGACATTGTAGATAATATGCAGGAGTGTGATTCAAGATTGAAGATATAGGAGAATATCTTCATGTATGTTCATTTAGCATTTTGGAAAGTAGAAACATTATCAGCACAAAATTTACTGCAAAGATGGTGCAGTATTTCTCATTAGCAAAATTTCCTCAGTTTAAAGTGACAGAGAAGTCTGTATTTGCTTTAATAAAGAACTAAGAAAGCTAAGCTATATTTGACTGTTAGCTGTTTTGGTGTGGAGACTGTTTGCTTCCATGTGTTTGCAGGGTGCCTTGCACAATGGGATCTCAGTCTTTAGTTGTTACCATAATAAATAGAGTTATTTATATTAAAAATAATAAATTGGTCTTTCTGATCTGTGCCTTCCCAACAGGATACAGGCTTCAAATTGCTCTTTATGTGTTCTTTTCCTTCCCCAGGCATACTGAAACTATGTTTGCTTAATACTTCTTTGTTCCATACTTATACACCCTTCTAACATGTATTACTAGCTGCTTTTGAGTTGATGAATATTTTTTAATTATAATAAAAAAGTCTTTCCCTTTTTTTCCTTACTTTTCCATTGAACATAAATCATCTCTTAAGCTTTCTAACTGTTAAAATAGGTGTCTTTTCAGGAGATATGATAGAGGAAAGAAGAAAAATGCATTTAAGCAATAAAGTTCATTTAAATGTGGGTCGTGCTGTTTTGGTGAGCAATCTGGGAAAAATATAAAAGCTTATTCATTTTGTTTTGGCAACTGTTTATCAAGATTATAGTACAAATTAGGAATTGTATATTTGACATTATTTTTTAATAAATGCTTCATACACTTGTATTTCCCAACATTATTTCTATGTCACTGTTCAGTAAATTTGTGTAAAAGTAATTTTTGCTTGCTTTCTTTAAGGAACTTTATAGTGGTAGCAAAGATTGCAATATCCTTGCATGGATACCAGCTCTTCGAGAGCCAGTTCCTGATGACATTTCTGAAAAGGTAATGAATTTGTGAGTTTGAACTATGCTTTTTATGACTGTTATACTTCAGGGGTGGTGTAGAAATTAAATATGAAGTATGTGTTTTAGCATCAAAATTTGTAACAGTTCGTAATTAAGAGAATCACCTGTGCAATCTTTTGATCGTTTGAGGATGTTTTCTTTCATAGTCTAGTAAATTCTTTTGCAGCCTTCTGGCTTCTCACTTAATTAAAAGTAGTACTTGTCATTTGACTATCAGTCTTTCAGCGTCCTTAATTTCCAAACTGTTTTCTGTAGTTTATGCTATTTTGGAATTGGAAACATGCCAAAGATTGTATTTTAAATTTATTAAGAATATACCGTATATTAAACAGTAAGATTAGGGATGCCACACTTCATACACAAATATTTTTGATGCAGAAATATAATAAAGAAGATTCTAAATGAGGTTATTTTAGTGTCTGAGACAAGACATTCAGGATCATATATAAGATGTTTTCCAAGAGAGTACTGTCTCCCTCTTCGTATTGCAGCTGGGCAATAAAAATTTCAGTGAACAGTTTGAGGGGGAATAATTCTAGATTTTAAGGATCTGAGACTATTCACAGAAACAGAGTCTGGCAAACTGTACTAATATTAAAAAATCTGGATACATTAATGTTTTGGCTCATAGCATACAAAAATTCCACTTTTTAAAATTTCTGAAATGTTCCATTTTGGATGAGGAAGTGATAGGAAGCATGCAATTTCTGCAACATTTGCTTTGCTTTGTAAGACAACTTATTTCAAAACTATCCTACACTTAACCAAAGAAGAAAAAATTATTTTCAAAGGTTAGCTACCCGAAACCCAAAATGTGTTGTTGACCTGAAATGAACATTTTTGCTGTAACTGAGAATTTTGATATGTGTGAATTGTTTTTTCTTAGTCTGAAAAACAAAAACAAACTTACAGCAACAATATTATTTATACAGCTCTGATTAGGACTGCCCCTTTAAATTTGACATGGTGGAGGTATGTAAGATGTGCCATTGTTTTGAAATCTGTTAAGCTACAGCTGCTCTTTGCAAATGTTGTAGATGAGCACTGCCTCTGAAAGCGGCAGTTCTGCTGTCCATAGGACGCTGGTTCCGGCTCCCTCTCATGTGCTAGAGCAGCCATTTGAGTGCCTGTATAACCAGAATGCGAACCCAGGATAGAAGCAAACAAGAAAAAAAAATTTACTCCAAGTCAAAACTGTGATTCAGTGGACTGCATAGCTGCACAAATCCTTTAGCTTGACCCTATGGGGGCTGAGGTGAGAAATAGTTGTTGGATGTGGATAGAGGCCAGGACAATTTCTTGAGACAGTAGTGCTCAGTTACGCTGGGCCAGGGAAATTATGACTTAAAACCAGTGACGCAAAACAATTACAGTAATGTTTATCTGTTATATTTTATACCAGACATTTGTAAAACTTCCAGTCAGTGTTCCAGATATTTGTTGTTGTTGAAATTGGAATTAAAGTAATATTTTTTTTTCATAATTTATTCTGTCTCTAATCAGCAGAATGGCCAAAGTGGTTAAAAAGAATCCAGTATCCATGAGAGACACAATAGTTTGTCTATCTATAGTTATTTAAGAAATGCCTTTAGCATTGCCCTTACTTGATTTTAGTATTTTTACTTAAACCACTGAGAGAGTTTTTATTCTCTTTAGTCTCTACCTCAACAGCATCTAAACCCAGCATATGAAGATGCATGGAGCAGCAGTGATGATGAAGGCTGAATTTCAGTTATGTGCTGATATAAAATTGACATCGAGACACTGCGTTCATGGACTTTATGTATGGAATTTGATGTTGTTGGATTTATTATCACTGGATTTTTGGAACAGTTCTGCTAAGCAAGGTTTTTCAGAAATAAGTTTCCGCAGTTCTCTGTGTTCTTTCTTCACTATTACAGTTAAATCTAAAGGATTACTTTTTCATGCTTACTGACTTTTATACTTTACACTGAGGCATTGGTATACTTTATTCAGTGTTGAACAGCTGAAAAAGGAAAAATAAAAGCCGTTGGGACCAGTTAATATTGCATTGTTTCTAGTATCACTAATACATAAGGATATAGTCCCTTTGTTTCCAAGAGATATGAGACAGAGGATTTTGCCTAAAGGAGGACTAGCTCAGGAATACTTTCAGCTATTTTTATCATTGTCTAGATGGAGCAAACTGTGTCCATTTTCAAATGCTAAAGTACTGTGGGAGCCAACAGGATTTTGTGCCTGTTCTTTTGCATTTTCAGTTTTGTGTAAGTTTCTCCATAAATGCAGTATTCAGTTCAGAAAGATAGCTGGGATCATGTGTTCAAGTATTTATATGGTGACCCCATCGACTAGTATCTGAATCTGTCCCAGAAAACTAAGATTAGAAACTAGTTTAATTAGAGTTTTTGTTGCTCCTGTTATGAGGTTTTTAAGATCAGTATTTTATGTATGAATCTCTCACACTTCTAGCCAGCGTGAAGAATTCCTGGACAGAAACAGGCTTGAGGTACAATACAAGGCAGAGAGTGGGTCACATTTCAAGTTAGAAACATCAAATGTAGTCCTTCAAGACTGTTCTCATCTGAATTTGCAGTCCTAATGCCTGCTCTGTTTTGAAAGGGAGAGCTTTGTGGGGTTACTGTCTCATCTCAGTCAGTAGTTTGGGCTTCAGACATGGTGTCGTAATCACCAATCTGAGAGCTGAGTTAGAGGTTCCCATCAGACATAGATGCAGCTCTATAGAGGAGAAATTCCTTCTGAAACAGAGCAGACATTAGGACCACAAATTCAGGCAAAAGAAAAAAATATTGTTCAAATAAATGAAATATAATGATTTAATCTTTGTGTAGTATGTATTATTTCTATGATTAGTATGCATTTTAGAATTAATTCACTGTGCTGCTGTATTATAATATCTATACAAGATATAGGCAGTCAGTTTCTATGTCAGTCTAGCATCTAGTGTTGTAAAATGATACAAAGCGAGGGGTGGGCCTATCAAAGGGATGTTGTAATTAAACAAGGTTCATATGTAGTGCATATTTGCTGGGAGAGACCCAAAATTTAAGTTGCACTATTAAGTGGATACCAGCAGGGTGGAAGACTTCCAGAAGTTTTAGCTGAAGTTAAGGACAAGCCTGACACTGTCTCTTTACAGCAAAAGAGAAGAGAGTTTCCTATTTTTTTTTTTTTTTTTCAAATGATAGTTTTCATTACCAGTGGTGGCTGTTCCCTCTAAAGTTGGAACACGGGAACAAATTTGAAGAAAGATTACACATTTTGATTTTTGTCTTAAAGAGAATGACTTTTTTGCATGTTGTAATTGTGTATATCATTCTTGTATGCCAACTGCAGTGCATATATTTGGCATTTTAATTTCTAAAAATGTGCTCAGTAAATCATAGAGCTAGTTATCAAAGAATAAATACATTTTTTCAATTTTTTTTTTAGTTATCTGTAATCTGAATATAATCTGAATATAAACAAATGAAAAAACCCACCAGAAAAACCCACCAGCTCTATGGTGGACTGTGAATGTATATAAAATTGGAGAGGTAGAAAAATTACATTTATTGAAAAAATAAGAAATAATAAAAACTAAACCCATAAATAAGAACGTTGCATTAATTCTCCCTCTTTGGGGGCCTTTCTCAAAACGAGTTTCTTTTCCTCTGCTTTGAGTACACAAATACTGAGATTGGAAGGGACTAGTGGAGATAATCTAGTCCAACCTCCCTGCTTAAAACGTGGTCATCTAAAGCAGGTTGCTCAGGCTTGTGTCCAGTTGGGCTTTGAGTATCTCTACAACCTACAAACCTGTTCCAGTGTTTGAGCATTCTTTACAGTAAAAGTTTCTTCTTAGGTTTAAATGGTGTTTTCTGGTTTTTTTCATTGCATCTTGACCCATTGATAGACACCACTGAGAAGAGGCTGACTTCCTCTTTCTTTACTGTACCTTTCCCTGGCTCCATCAGGTGTTTCTACACATTAGTGAGAACTCCCTCAGCCTTTTCTTCTCCAGGCAGAACAGTCCCAGCTCTTTCAGCCTCTCCTCATAGGAAGGATCACCTCCCTCAGCCAGCTGACAGCACTCTTCCTAACGCAACCCAGGATGCTGTTGTCATTCTTTGCTGCAAGGGCATGTTGTGGGCTTACAGTCATTTTAGTGGCCATCAGGAGTTCTGGGTCCTTTTCTGCAAAGCTGCATTCTAGCAGGTTGGTCCCTGGCCTTTTTCTGGTCCACAAGCTTTTTCCTCCCTGTATGCAGGATTTGGCATTTGCTTTTATTGAACACTGTGAGATTCCTGTTTGCCTGTTTCTCCTCTGTTGAGGTCCCTCTGAATGGTGGCAGCACAACCATTTGGTGTGTCAAGCACTCCCCCCAGTCTTGTGTCACCTGCAAACTTGTTGAAGGCACATTCTGTTCTATCATCAAGGTCATTAATGAAGATGTTAAACAGTACTGACCCCCACTATCGACCCCTAGGCTACACCAGTAGTGACTGGCCTTCGACTGGACTTTGTGCTACTGATCACAATGCTCTGGGCCAGGCCCTTCAGCTATTTTTCAATCTCACTGTCCACTTACCTAGTCTGTACTTTGTCATCTTATCTATATGGGTGTTTGGGACACTATCAGGAGTCTTGCTAAAGTAAAGGTAGACATCATCCGCTGTTTTCCTGTCATCCACCAAGTTAGACACTGTGTTGTATAAGGCTATCAGGTTGGTCAGGCATGATCTTTCCTTCATAAATCAATGCTGACTCCCACCTTCTTGTCCTTTATGTGTCTGCAAGTGGTTTCCAGGATTATTTGCTCCATCATCTTCCCAGGGATGGAGGTGAGGTTGACTGGCTTTCTTCCAGTCCTCAGAAACCTCTCCTGCTTATCATGACCTTTCCAAGATGATTGAGAATGGTCTTGAAACCACAGCAGCCAGTCAAGCACCATGGACTTGTGTACATCCAGTTTGTGTAAATGCTCCCTAACTGATCCTCCTCCACTAAGGGTACACGTTCCTTGCTCTAGAGTTTCTAGTGGTCTGAGGGACCTGGGATTGCTAAAGTCCAGTCTCACCACTGAAGACTCTGGTGAAGAGGCATTGAGTACCTCAGCCTTTGCCATGTCCTTTGTCTCCAGTTCCCCTGCCCCATTTAGCAGTGCGCCAACATTTTCTCTAGTCTTCCTTTTGCTGCAGATACACCTGTATGTTTTAGTTTTGCTTTTCATATTCCTCATCATTAACTTGAGGTGAATTTTGGCTTCCCTAGCCCTATCTGTGCATGCTAAGACGTTTTCTCTGTACCTTTCCCTGCTTCCACCTCTTGTATGCTTCCTTTTTGCATCTTGAGTTTTGTCAGAAGCAACTTTTTCATCCACGCAGACATCCTTCCACCTTTGCTTTATTTCCTACATGTGAGGATGGACTATCCTTGAAAATTGAACAGCTCTCCTGGACCCTCCTTCTCATCAGGATCATATCCCATGGAATTTTTCCAGACAGAACCCTGAACAGAGATCTGTCTGGAAATGTGGAAACTCCTCTATACTTTTATGGGGCTTATTTTCATACTGTTGCTGAATAACTTCTTGCATATCAGTTTTGCGTAAGTTGCACCATGAATGCGATGTGGGATTCAGCTCAGGAAGAGGTGGACTGTGGATTATTTGTATCTATCCACCCAGGCACCTGTCAGTTTAGTGTCTGAAGCTGTCCCAAACAGTTGAAAATATAAATTAGTTGCCTTGGGGGCTTATTGCTCCTATTAACAGCTAGTGTCTTCTACACAGGAATCTTTCCAAGTTCTCTTCTGGTATCAGTTGATGATGTCATTATTCTCCCTCTTGACTGTTGTCCTCTGCTAGAAGGAGAGGTGTTTCTGGTGAGGGAAAATAAGAACATCTGTGTCTCATCTGGGCAAGAATCCAGACACGTTCTATGATCCAGCACCTCCAAACCTTCCATGTAATGGCAGTAGCTCATAGATGATGTTTAGTTTGGAAGGTTTAAAACCTCTTTTTTGTGAAAACCATTTTCTGTGAAAATTCTGGTTTGAATAATGGCATATAGGTTATGATTTTGTTCAGTACTTCTATTTTTCTGTAGATGTGGTAAATTTATTACTTTAGTTTTTTCTAGAAGAAAAATTATTTTATTTCTGCTGCATTCTTATGGTGGCTGTACTTAATAGCTAAAGTGTTGGTATCTTCAAAATGAAAATTTTTAAAGGACACTGAAGGTATGTTGTATATTATTTTTCACTGGAAAGAACCAAGTACTAAGCCAACGGTGTCAGTTGCAACTGTACATCTTTTGCTTGATGCGTAAGTTAAATATGATAATTAAATCTGACTCTTCCCCTTCATTTATGCCTATTCTGCTTCTATGCTTATAGCATGTTTTTTTATAGTATCAGAGCTCTTTCAGAACTAGAAATGCAGCAAGTGGGGTAGTATAGACTTAATTGCACTTCACATCCTTATGTCAGTCAGAAAAAAAAAAAAGCATATTTGAAAATCCAGTCAGGTGTCAAAAGGGGTGCTATATCCATGTTTAAATAAAGTTATTCACTTGAGAGGCAACTAGCTGATAGCTGGATTCTAAGTTCCTGTTAAAAACAGTAAGAAAGTTAAGAGTTTAAAGAGAGAGCTTAGGCTGGAATGCACTGTACTCTTACCACAGTAGTGGTACTGTGATTTAGTAGTCATACTCTGTATCACAATACGTAGAGAAGTGCTTTCATCTTTTCAGACTGTTCCGGGAATTGACTATTGCTTAGAAGACTTGCTTTTCTTGCCAAGGGAGAGATTTTTATTTGAGCTTGATACAGCAGGTACCTAAAGAGGGAAAAGAGTTTATTTGTTCTTCCAAGAGATCAAAGAATTTCCTTTCCCTTCTAGCCTAAGGAAACAATGGAGGTGGGAGTCAGTCTGAGCCCGCCCAGCTGAAGAAATCCAGAGAGCCTAAGACAAGCCACCTTCAGCTTGAGTGAAAGTTGAGTTCTGTAGAGACAGTAAGATAGAACTCTGGTTATTTATGTCTGGGT